GACATGCGGTAACTCTCGCTGCACCCAGTCCTACGGCTGGTCCCAATGCAGCTCCTAAATTCGGAATTCCCATGTTGAGCTGCTGAATCACCTGGGCCAGCGACGGCAACGGAGGAATGTAAGAAGACCCCTCCTTCCTTATCGTCGTAACAGACCCGCCACCCGACGAACCATCCACCAGCTTCACCATCGGCAATTTCAACGCAATTGCCAATTTCTCCATATAGATCGTTTTTTCCATTAACGCTCCATCAGCGTGTCCAGCACGAATAGAGAAATCATCAGCCGTAAAAATGACCTTCCGCCCGCGAAGCATGCCAAAACCCTGCACATTGTTCGACGGGGCATATGAAATCGGCGCTTCCCTCGTGCCACCCAGCGTCTTCCACTGCACTGTCCCAGACACTGAGCCGACCTCGCGGAAGCTGCCTGCGTCGAGCAGAGCCAGCACCCGCTCGCGCACCCACAGTTTCCCGGCCTGCTTCTGGCGCACATAACCCTTGTTCGACACATCCGGCGTGTTTGCAATGCCGCGCAGTGAATCGAGCTGGCCTAATTAGTCGCTGTAGTCTGCTGGTAGCTCATCCTTCGCCCGATGGCGACGGTTTGTGGTGGTTACATGGCCGCCAATTTGTGATAGTCTTGCGGTTCCTGGGGTATTGTTTTTGTCAACTTTGGTCGGACATGATGGACGGAGATGCAGCCGGGTGGCCTGACAATGCGTATACTGGGTGGGAGAGCCATCTTGTAGGGTGTCTGCTGTGATGATGTTGCGTAGAGCGGCAGTGTAAAAATGCCTCGGTCTATCCCCGCAAATTCAAAAGATGGGGACGGTGGCCATTCTCTTCAACTCCCACTGAGACTCAGCATTAATATGGGACGGTGGGGAAGAGGACTGTTTTGCCTCAATGAAGTCTATAATTCTCTCATCTGAAAAGAGCTTTTTAGATTAAATGAAACCTGCTAGGAATGACTTCATCACGTCATGTCAAACGACTGCTTGTTGCTAACAGGTGAGTGGGACATACTAGTGAACTCCTGTAAAGTTCATAAATCTACTGCAAGCTCATGTAATACTCTGGAATACGTAAACCCAAGCACTCGATTGAGTATGGCAGGCTGGGAATTATACCTAGGTAGCTATATCAAGACCTGTCCAAGTCTTACCACACTTCCCAATCGCTATACCAGGCCGACGGACTTCTCTACTGTTCTAGCTAGCTAACGAATCTTCAGGGGGGAAATCGCAACTAGAATCATTGCTACAGCTCGAGAGCTAGACATAGAGACCTTTTCAATCTACACTAGCAATGACACAACCCACACGCTGAACTCTTCCCATTCCATACAGATCACCTCGCCATCGTCATATCTTGACATCTCTGAACTGCTCGAAACTGTCAAGAAACACCAGATCGACAGCGTGCATCCAGGCTATGGATTCCTGTCGGAATCACCTGAATTCGCGAAGGTGATGTGGGAAGAGGCTGGAGTATTGGTTATAGGGCCGGGACATGAGGTTATGGCAAAGACGGGCGACAAGTTACAGGCTAGGCTGCTTGCTGAGGAGTGCCGAGTACCAGTTTTGCCTGCTCTGAAGTACCCGACTAGCGAAGTGGCGGCGTTGAGAGCTTTTGCATCGTCAGTCGGTTACCCAGTCGTCATCAAAGCTGTGGATGGTGGTGGAGGTCGAGGTATCAGAATTGTAAAGAATGCGGAATACTTGGAGTCACTAGTTCGATTAGCGTTGAGGGAAAGCCCGAGTGGTAAAGCATTCGCCGAGAGAGCCGCGATAGATGGATTTCGACATGTTGAGGTCCAAGTAAGCCTCCGAATATAGTGAAGCACGAACAAGCTGACGTGAAACAAATCATTGGCGATGGCCAGGGTAATGTGAGGCATCTTTGGGAACGAGGGTGTAGTATACAACGAAGGTTCCAGAAAGTCGTAGAGTTTGCACCAAGCTCGATATCTAACAGGGAATTGGTCGGTGAGGTTATCGAAGCTGCATTGAGAATGGCCAAGAGGGTAAATAGTACCTATAAACTGCAGCATCCGATGACTGATATGGATAGGTCAATTATTCCTCCCTGGGAACTTTTGAGTTTCTGGTGCGCTCTTCGCCACCTGAGTTTTACTTCCTTGAGGTAAATCCTCGACTACAAGTAGAACATACTGTGACGGAGGCTCTCTGTATGGGATGCGACCTGGTCCAGTCACAGCTCTTGCTAGCACAGGGACATGATCTGTCTTCACTCTCGTTATCCAGACTTTCGGCAGATCCATTGAAGTCACCTCCAATACACTCGATACAGCTGCGAATCACTGCCGAAGATGTATCGAATGATTGGAAACTCAGTGTCGGCAAGATCGGCTCATTCAGAATGCCATCAGGGAACGGCATCAGAGTTGATACACATATTCTGCCTTCTCAGCCGCTGGTAGTTGGCACAGACTTCGACAGCTTGGTTGCTAAAATTATCGTTACTGCAAGCACGTGGAAAGATATAGTTAGAAAGGCTAAAAGGGCGCTTGCGGATACATATATTGAGGGAGTGAAGACTAATCTGGACATCTTAATGGGGATCGTGCATAGCCAAGATTTCGCAGACCAGAAGTGCGACACCCAATGGCTCGAAGCCAATGTCCACACTCTTGTGGAGGCAGGAAAGATTAAGCAGGGAGAGGCTAGAAAAGCACTTGCCCTGAGCATATCACCGGCTGTGAAAAGTACGGCTGTGGCCGTAGCGTCCAATGTGCTGTTCCGCAAAGGTGACGCTTGGCCAATCTCCCTGACACCAACAGCATCATTAGAGAAGCCAGCTCCCAGTCATCTTCAGCTGACCAGAGTGCTTCAGAACGAGTTTCCTGCATCTCTGACAGCGCAATTGACATACACAACACCGAACACCCCTCCAGCATCATACCTCATGACTTTAGCTAGTACTACAGCGTCCTTCGGTTCAATATCAAGTGCCGTTACTAGCAGACGTGGTGACCCAGGGAACGAGAATCACATCATCATCCCGCTGCCAGGAACGCTCGTTGAGCTTCAGGTTGATAAAGGCGATGAGGTGAAGCAGGGAGACGTTGTTGCCGTGGTCCGTCAAATGAAGATGGAGCTGGAGATCAGGGCTAACAAAGCTGGGAAGGTAGTATGGGTGTATGAAGGTAATGAGGGAGATGATGTTGGTGAGGGGATACTAGTTGCAGAGCTCGGTAGCAGCAGAGACTCGAAATTATGAGTATATAGATGTGATAGCAACCATGCTGCCCTATCTTGTTACACATGAGCGATGAGATACAGCGAAGTGACTGGCTTCATAAGCAATGCAATACTTAGATAGCATCGAATGCCACTTCAGGCCTGCAGCAAAAGTTGCCACCTAATTTCGCAGCTCTGGAGGGATCCAATATTGAAGAGGAGAAAAACTTGATGGGATTAAGGGACGGCCATTGGTCTCATAACTGCTACATGCAACAAGAGTATAACATAAACTTCAGCTAGTGAGTGAAATCCTCTTTCAACAGGCCATGCATACATAGCTGGTACTTTCACTTGCTGGTTCATCTTTCTGACTAACGATATTGGGTTAGACTTCGAGATTAGCACTTCTTGGCTAGAACGCTATTGAAGATGTATGGAATATAACGATATGAAAGACAACGATTCCCACCAAAGACTAAATGTGCAACAAAACCAGATATAACGTTGGCGGTCCGGCTGGAGAGGTAGCTGGCACTTCCTCTCTGGTGAGCACCTGCTGTGTATACTCTTCTTATTGTCAGAGAAGAGGAAGACAGCTTGTGCTGGTAGGTTCGAATCCTGCAGTTGCAACCCCATCATGCCCAAGTCAACAGCCTGGCTAGTAGGACGACGGACGAACGACTCGCGCACTCGATCCCTGACGTCCTTAGGGCCCGACAACTCTCGCGCGGCTCCGGTCATAGTGGCAGATCGGATCGTGCTGGGGGCGGCCACGGGCGGTGGTCAGCGTTGTAGGAAGTTGGCTGCAATGAACCATTCGTGCAAGCCGGCAGCAGCTCCTCAGGGTTTTCCTACCTCAATACAGCCTCGGTCGAACCACCCAGGTCTCAGACGAAGTAACCCAACCTACAGAACAACATTTCACATTCAAAGCACACACAAGTCTGGGGATCTGGCAGATTGGGCGAGAGGGAACGTTGTTGGGAAGGGTTTCCCCTGAGAGGATCAGGGGGATCGTGGAATCACAGTTGCTGTGGCCAGCGGAGTTGCAACATGGCTTCATTGTGGCTGTAGCCTACCGAGTATCCAGGGAGAGCACATATAGGAGGACAAACTGGTCTCGACAGAGCCTGATATTAATGCCACAAACAAAGCACTTCTGTCAGCGTGTATGTATGTGTACGTAGATAGAAGCCAGACGGCTCAGTGAAGGAGGTTGCTGGTCACACGAGTGTGATGAAGTGTCGTGCATTTCCTGAGGCAGATGCACTTCGGCAACTGGTGCCAAAGCTGAGCCATTCCGGCATAGCTGTCTTAAAGGCGACTGGATCCGTGTATCATAAAATCAATCAATTAATCATATAACGTTGGCATTGTTCAGAAGCTGTTGAGTGAGTGGCTTTGTAGATGGGGTAAAGATAACTAACTCTCTATCTTCAACTTCCTAGAATCTCTTCTTAATGAGTCCCCAAGTTTTTGGTCTAACCAAACAACTGCTCGAGTAAATGCTGTCCGATTTCACATCTCTTGAGCTTCTCGAAGGAACACGTGGAAGGTCACCATTTGCGAAAGTCATACAAAGGTTTTGCAACTCGGCGAGTGGGGCTACTCGTACCAATCGGTGGCTCATCCGATCACACTAGCCGTTAATCATCCACAATCTGAAGTCAAGAAAAGAATGGGAGCTTGTTGCTGTTCTCTGTGTCCGGGGCAAAAGAAGGCTGAATACTTTTTTCTTCTCAAAGGCAGCAGCTTCGCTGCACAGAAGCGAAGAAAAAAAATATATCTCCATTCTCTCAGGCGCGAGTCGAACGCGCGACATTCGGATATTCTGATACTGTTACAGTCCGACGCCATAAACCAACTAGACGACCGAGAGTGTAAACAACTTGGTGTTGCTTGGTCATTTTTGAATGTGAAATTATGATGTGTAAATATATATGTTTCTCGCCGCACTAGCGCTTTTCGTGAATCAGTAATCCGCAATTCCGCTTTTTCCAACCGCGTTTTCGTTTTTTTTTTGTAAACGGTCTTCAATTCTAGCTTTTACTTAAATGAAAATGTAATTCCTGAGGAGGTAGTTTTTCAGGTATCTTCGGGAAGCCGAAGCCGGAATATCTGCCTGGCGGTAAACGTGCACGTTGTTGGTTGTTGTGAGCATAACACTCTCCCTGACCATCCGGCATTCTCTTGCTCTTCTTGCTGTCCTCTTGTCTCTCCTCATATCTTGTATTCTTATTACTGCGTTCTCAATCACAGAATGAGTGACCGTCGACTGACTAAACGCTCGCTAGAAGACTTACTTGGAGACGAACATGACGCTCATTTTCAAGCAACTAGCGCGTCTCGCGTTGTTTAGCAGACGCAGCTTGCCTATGATAGAGTTTGGAGATTTTAGGAAGAGTAAGTTCCTGTATCTTCGAGGCACTACCTAAGGGAGGGAAACAACTTCTTACAGCCTTATGGCACTCCGAAAATGGCAAATACAGCAGCCTGACAAATCGTAGCTTTGCGAAAAGAGTACAACAGCCGGAACTGATTCCCACCAAGCAATGGATACAGAGATTTTTAAAGACTATGGCGATCGAGCGCAGTGGGGTAATCAGTTCAGCACTCAGCGTCAATACGCTGAAGCTTTACGCCACACTACTAGTAGCCGCAGTTTACAGAAAATATGGCGTGAAGATGCCCAGAGCAGATAAGGACGATGCCCGCAATGTATGTTTACCCAGAGACTAGCAAAATGGATACCGCTAAATGTGAATTAGTACATTAAGAATATTTTAGCAAAAGACTACGGCCTTTCGGACGAAGCATTGTCACGGTATGACTAGGGGTCGCAATGCCACGTGAAACGCGACAACCACGCGTTGATCTACGCAGGGGTTAGATTCGTATATAGACTCGATCCTCCCCTCCTCTCTCGTAGACCTCGACAATTCTATCAACTCCATAGGATACCTTCTAAAAGCGTTCTTCTGACCCAACCCAACCCACACCCTGATCAGCATGGGCCAAGCCAAAAATGGTTTGTACAGACCTCGAAATTCTTTCCTTTCTATGGACTCAATATTAGCATGTATACAGGGGTGATTGTGAAGATGGCAATATATGATCACGTGCATATGCGATACTAGCGCCTTGGCAACCTCATGTAGTTAAGATTCCAGACGAACGAGAGAGCTTTCCTCCGCGTAGCCAAAACATCAAATAGAGAAACCTTGGCGGCTGGAGAGGTAGCTGGCACTGCCTCTCTGGTGAGCACTTGCTGTATATACTCTTCTCATGGCCAGAGTCGAGGAAAACAGCTTGTGCTAGTAGGACGACAGATGGACGGCTTGCGCACTCGACTTCCGACCCCCTTAGGGCTCGACAACTCTCGCGCGGCTCCGGTCACAGTGGCAGATAGGACTGTGCTGGGGGCGCCAACGGGCGGTGGTCAGCATAGGAGGAAGGTGGCTGCAGTGAAGCGTTCGTGCAAGCCGGCGGCAACTTCTCAGGGTTTTCCTATCCCAACACAGCCTCGATCGGATCACCTAGATCTCAGATACAGTAACATCATACACAGTACAACAAAACAAACACACAGCACACACAATTCTGCGGATCTGGGAGAGCATCACCACTTCCTGTCACCGCAGCCCTGCCCGGCAGATTCTTGACCCCTCATCGAAACTACATCACCAATTTACAGAGCACACAGCAGGCACTTGACCCACAAAGGACACACAATCACACGATTTGGGACGGTTCGGGGTCTACTGGAGTTTGGAGTTGCGGCGGTATAGAAGAGGCGATTTGGACGAGAGAGAACGTTGTTGAGAGGGGTTTTCCCTGTGAGGACCAGGGGGTTCGTGGAATTATGGTTGCTGTGGCCAGCGGAGTTGCAACAAGGCTTCACTGTGGCCGTAGCCTACCAGGTATCTAGGGACCGCAGACACAGGAGGACAGTTGGTCGCCGGGTCAGAGCCTTATGTTAAAGTCACAAACAAAGCACTTCTGTCAACGGATATGTATATATGCGTAGGTAGAAGCCAGACGGCTCAGTGGAGGAGGTTGCTGGTTACACGAGTGTGATGAAGTGGGCTGCGTCTCCTGAGGTAGACGCAGCTCGGCAATTGGTGCCAAAGCTGGGCCATTCCGGCATAGCTATCCAAACGGATGGCTGGAACCGTTTATGAAAAAATCAATCAATCAATCAAATAGAGAAACCTTCTATTTTCACAACCTGACAAGGCTATGGCTTGGTCTCTCTTTCAATTTCTGCTGACTTCGGAGCGTCCTGTGCTGCTGCCATCGAACAACCGTATATTCAAAGTGGTAAAAGCCAGGGAAAGAGAAGGATCCGGCAGTGAGGACAACTAAATACATGGTGCAGGTCATATGACCGTGTGTCAGCTGACCAAGTGCCAAGAATGGGTCCACCCTTCACAGTCCGTCCTGTTCCCGACGGCTAGAAGATTCGTGTCGTCTGCAAACCCCACTGTTCCTATCCCGCCGACATCTCTCAGCTTCCGAAAGAGCGGAGTGGTGTAGAGGATGAACAAAAGGGGGTATAATGGTGAGCCTTGTGGCACGTCGGACGATACCTTTATAGGATCCGACTCCCAGTCATCGAAAGTCAAGGTGGCTGTTCGGACACTCGGTGTGGTTAGAAGCGATAGGTTCCACTTCTCAGCTAGCTCTAGAAGAACTTCCGCTTCTTGGTCGTACCGGTCCTCCACATCCCACAGGGGGTGGTGGAGGTTGAAGTCTCCGGCGAGGACGGCCCGCTCGGGGTTTTCCCATTCTAGCATCTGTAGAAGTGGTGTTTGCCAAGATCGAGTATAGGCTGGGGAGTATATAGAATACACCTGGATGCCCTCGATCTCGACTGCCACCATGTCCTTTGTCTCGTGCAGAGGTCTCCATTTTATTCCGTTCCTTCTTTTATGAATCCAGATCGCCGAGCGGCCACCTCCCCATACCTTCCAAAACCTACTGCTGGGCCCGCCGCCCAGCGTGTCCTTCACGCGTTGCTTTATGGAAACCTCCTGGCCTAGGATGACGTCTACTTCGTCGTCTTCCAGAGCTTCCATCCCGCAAGGATGTCGCTTGGCCATGTTCCATGTGACGATGCGGAGCCTCGTCATTAAGCGATGTGAACATTCCTCGCCAGCTTCTCTGGGATCCTTGGCCTTTCGCAGTTTCCGGACTCCTGCGGCGGCGGGCTTCGCGGCACAAGCCGTTTCTTCCCGCCTGCGCCTCTTGCTTTGTGTCCTTGGCGTGTCCTTTTATTCAACGCGTCCGGCATATCCTCGATGCCCTCCTCTGGTTCCTCTCTATCTTCTTCCTCTATTGTGACCTCGGGCGCCTTCTCAGTTCTCTCGGGCGCCGATTCGGTCGCCGGTTCAGTCGCTGGTCGGGGCTGGTTCGGCGTCCCTGCGGTGGGCGCGACCGGGTTGGTGGGACCTGTTTCTTCGGTGGCTTTTCATAGGATCTGGGCCTGCACCTACAGGAGTAAGAGAACCAGGGAATCGACAGGATGGCTAATATCACGTGACTACTAGCTGTGCTAGCACAGGAAACTCTCTTAGTATATAGTCTTTCTAGTTTCCTTAGTTAGGAGCTACGTGCTCAAATTGCCATAAATTTGTTCATCTCACAGTTTACCCAGCTTGTAACGGAATCGCTTCCACATGATTCAATTCAATTGATACTTGCTTCTTCATTCCTATACCAACCCAAACGTTACTTCTATCGAGAAGATCAGTTGAGTATTCCTAGCCCGAATACCAACCGGAGTCCCAGAACATTACAGTACTCTTCCCAATACCAGTAGACTACCCTGTCGTCTCCAAGATCGCACGAAATGATACGGTATACTAGAGTGACTGCCGTGTGGGTTATACAGACCTACAATGCACACGACTGGAATGCGTCGGGACCAGCAGAGCGAGCATATCCAGTACTTTGATTTTGCAATCGATGCCGTGCGAAAGCACTGAGAACAACCTGGAGCCTTACTGTCTCTCCATAAGGGTAGGAATACTGTTTGGCATCAGAACGAATAAACGATCCATATTCGTCTCTTTCTGAACCAATTTGTAGGCTGCTATCAACAGATGTTGAGGGAAAAATCTTTGTGCATGTGTTTCATGTGCACGAGAAACGATAACAAATGCATTGGCATTACATGGGAAGACTCTCCCGTTACTTCAGTATAGAGCTTGTTAATGGAGTACCTAGTGAGAAGAGTCAGCTGGTCTAGTGCAGGAAGCCAACAGTTAATGGCAGTAACAGCTCCACAACCAGCCTGAGTGGCACAAGTACCGTCTGTGGCTGTGAAACAGCCTCTTCCTACATTGCAGTTGCTGAGTAGGTACTGATCAAAGCTAACTCAGACCGATTTCTAAGGTTCGTCCGAAGCTCCCATCACCACAGACAGTACCTCATCCCTCATACTACTCAGAAGCACTACACAAGTTATGCTCGTTGACTCAAGTCGGTGCACTCTTGTGTTGGTTCAAGATGTCGTCGTCACGGTGGCCTCGTCGTCATCAGCCACTGCCTCAAATCAACATTGTGATCCCTGCAAGCTCATTCCTCACTATATACAATACATCATGCGCCTCAACTGCGAAACATTCAGGGCTTGTGGATAACTACCGTAAGGGTGCATCATTAGCATAGAATTAATACACTGCCGTTATAGACCTTCTATCTGTCTACTCTTCACGCCGTTCGTTCTGAGTGTCTACCAAATCTCCAGCAGCAGGAGATACCCCGCCAACACGCAGGAGCTTCACGTCGAGTCAGAAGAGTACGTAAACCGCTGGGCAGACAAGGGCCACCATACAAGAGAAACAAGGGGACAGAAATAGAGAACAAAGCAGAGAA